CTTCGCATTCACCTTCATGAGAACATTCGCGTGATATTGAGGCTTGTTGGTGATGCAGTGTGCAGATTGAAGCACTTGAGAGGGGGTGCCATATCGGCAGTCGGAAGACTTCTTGAGACGAAGATAGACCCAAGAATCCTTGTCGGGAACAATGAATACCATGAGCTGGGGTTCTCTCTTGTTCTGCGCCGCGATCGCATCGTAGAGCTTTTTGACACTGGTGCCAACGTCTTCGCTCAATCCCTTGACAACCGGTCGGCCAGTCACCTCACCACCCATGCTCTTGTACATCTTGACAAATTGCTCAACCCAGCTCAGGGTTTGATCCTGACTGATTGACTTTCGATGTCCCGAAAAGAACCCGACACCCCAAGCCTGAAGGGCCTTTTCATTGGGTTTGTAGAACTTCTTACCGCGGAGATCCCAACTTCCCGAATGCTGAGGGTTGTGCTTGCGATTGCCCCCAAACTGAAGCTCAGGACTTGGAAGCAGGCGAGCCTTGGTCTTGATCATTTGGTCGCTGATCTTCATACCGTAAAGCTTCAGAATCGGGTCGTTCTTGTGCTGGAGAAGTTCCTTGGACTGGCGAGCATCGGCTAAACGTTTCGGAGGCCTGGTTGCACACCATTGAATCATTTGTGCCGCCTGCGCATCAGTAAGCTTGTAGCGGTATCGCTGGAGGCCTTTGATGACCAGGAACTCGGCTGGATAATGGACCTCTTCCTTTTGCATCTCCACCAAGAGCATGTTGGGATATTCGAGGCGGAGGTTGTACCGTTTCATAAAGTACTCTTCCAGTTGAATTCGAGTAGACTTCCCAGTGGCCTTGTCGTAATAATCAATGAAAAACTCTTTGGGTCTTGCATGAATCAAGCTCTTGACAATGAAACTCTTCATCTTGAAAGGGCAACCCTCATAGTTGGGTGCCACTCGAAGCCCCTGAATCTTCTTGTTCACTTGAGCAAACCACTTCGATTCCTTTGTACCACCATATTTGTCGCGAGTTGACTGGAGGTTCCTGACTAGAGTCGACATATCGTTCCACCCATTCACGTTCATCATGTAGCCCATAAGACTAATACGAGAAAAGAAGACGCAGTGAGCGACATCAACATTGAGGATCAGACCTTGCTATAAATGAACGTCAGTTTTCCAATCTTTAGTTTGAATCAACGGATGGAGCCTTACAGGAGTCGGTTTAATTGCTTGGTAGATGCCTCGGTAAACGGAAGCACCCATGTTGGCAAGCGGCTGGTAAAATTCTTGCTTTAGCTCCTCGTTATCTCCAAGCTTGTCGAAGAAGAAGGCCCGCTTGATTGCAGCAAATTGTTTAGTGGGCCATTCGCGGAGCAAATGGTCAAGGAAGCCTGTCATTATCAGCTTGCTGAATCAAAAACAGAGGAATATGCGAAATAAGGGAGCACTTACTCAGAGATTCAATTACGAGTTCGTCCAGATCACGGCGGTTTTGCAGCCAGGAGTTGATCATTGACAGGTTGATCTTTCGCTTTTGAATGACTGACATTCTGAAAGCAGGGTTCCTCTTGAACTCATCAACAGTAGCAAGAGTCTTGATGTCTCGGGTCAAGTCACCCTTGAAGTCGATAATCTCATTCCAGTCATCAAAGTTGCGCAGCGACCTGCAACACAGATTAGAAAATCTATAGCAGCAATCAGAAATATATTATGCTTACCAGCAGATTCTTCCACCATCCCAGATGCCATCAGGAATATGTGCCTTTCGAGTCTCACTGTTCCAGCACTTTCTCAACACCCGCCGGTCAGTCTCATTTTGGTCTCCGTGGAGAACATTGATCTAGTAATTGATGAGCAAACAATTTCATTGAAGAGGGGTAAGAAACGCTCACCTCATACTGATAAACTGCCTTGTCTGGGAAAGAAGTGATCGGGTACGCATTCATCATAACCTCGATCTCTTTGCCAGAAGTGTTGTAGCCAATACGACGCTGGATTGGAGTCTCCTCTGGGGCAGACTAGAAAGAAAGAAGAAAAAAAGGGGGTTAGCCTAACTCATTCTCCACAGATGTAGAGTTATTGGGAATCATCGGTCGCAAACTTACAGAAGAAGGCCTGACTTTGAATCGATGCCAGGGAATGTCAATGTTCTTGCAGCCATCCCAAGCAACTGTCATGTAATCTGCGTGCCGGATAACCTTCTCTTGGTCGAGTCTGTGTTGCTCAAAAATAGCCACTTTCACTCCTTCTCTTGCAAGACGCTCATAGTTAGCCCTTTCTTCCGCGGTCCAGTTAGCCGGGAATTCTGGAGGGGTCTCAACTCGACGGATGGGAGAGTCACTGCTACTGGAACCAGTGCTTTTAGGCTGCCGGTATTCGCCTGACTCAGGGTCATATCGGGTTCGCCGCATCCACGCAGTGCTTTCTTCTTCTTTCTTGCGTCTTGCGTCATCTTCTAGTTTTGCCTTGTGGTCACGCAGCTCTTGGGCCTGGCGCGGGTCCAAGGGCTTTGCCACAGGAGCAGAGGGACGCAAAGGAAGCTCAAGGTTGAGCTTGGGTTGGCTGGAGGATGAAGAAGAGTGGGGAGGCTTTGAAGATGTCTTCGTAGCAGCAGTAGAGCGGTGCCCGGAACGAGACCTATACTCCTCATCATCCTCAGTTGAGGGCTTCATGGGCTTTTTGGGACCCATGGTGAAATAGCGCTCCTATCAATTACCTTTCGTTAGTCAACGTTTTATTTCCTTTTATTTTGTTTTCTTTTGAGCAGATGTGAAGTCATCAAGTAAGACGGATGAAACAAAACAAGGCTGTTATAACAGCTGAGTGATCGTACTGCTCGGCGATGTAAAGTGAAGCAAAAACCGTTCGTTTTTGCTTCGCTTGGACTCGGCATAAAAGAGGGGTAGGTATTATGAGAGTGATCACTTACACAGAGTCAAAATCTTCGGTGAGCCAGAGATGATTGTCGTGGAAACTGATATGGGGGGGATCACAGAGAAAGTCAGACGTATTAAACGTCAAAGTGAGAAATGTCTTCGGCTTGGACTATGCAGATAGATGCAGGAATCCAAATTGCTGAAGACAAGTGATGGAGAGTGATGGAGAGAGAAGAAGGAAGAGATCAACGAGGGAGGGAGCTGCTTTTATAGATGAAGGTAGAGCGCGCGCGGAGGTGTGTTCCTTCTCGAGGTGAACGAGCGTGTAGTTCCTACCTTTCGAGGTAGGATCTGTAGATCGATGTAACTATATTCTAGGGCACGAGTACCTACATAGGTAACTCTTCCATGTGTGGAAGCTACCACAGAGATAGCGGACCTAGCATAGCATAATATCACAATTGCGATCAAAGCCCGCCCTAGGTGAACTAAAAGTACTTGTTTATACTAGCGTTTGTCTGACTACACTAAGTATCTTAGTACTTGGATATCGCGCACTTTCACTTGAGATTTTCCGCTGCTTCAAACACACCTAGGAGGGGCGGGTGTGCATTTTGCTTATTCTCTGCGTGCGAATTGTCAATCTTCATGGGACACGATTTGTTCCAGTGGTGATCGGAGAAAAGGCCGCCTAGAGCAAGGCTCATTGGTTGCGGTGCTATTGGCGTGACACCCAACATTTTATGGTACACTTTTCTCGAAAAGATGTTTAGCATGATGGCACCGGATGGGTAGTCTACTAAGCAACTGAGTAGCGTGTCAGACAGAAGTTGACGAAATAGCCCTTCTGTCCGTACCCGAGATAGGGTAAACAGCCAACAGTCAGTCGGAATAAAAACGTGCAATAAACGGACTAAAGATGCAAGATGCAACCCTCCGATTGGGTTCCTATACCTGTCGACTTCTGCAAACAGAGGATACATATAGGGCTACGTGAAAGGCCTAGGGACAAACCAAAGTACATTTGAATCAGATTTTGGTGGGGTCAGTATCTTCTCAATGGGAGTGTCCGTGGCATCTCCAAGCAGCGGTGCAGAGCCAAAGATAGAGGCGAACAGGATGAACACAATCGATCCATTAGTGGGTAGTCTATGTACAACGATATCTTTACTTCCACGGGTTGGGTAAGAGCAGTCATTTTCCTTATATTAGTGAGTTTTTCCAGAGCGGCTATGAAGCTGACAGAGCCGGTTGTTCTTGGTGCTGTTTTGTTACCTGCCTATAAGGCAGTGTCATACGATTCAGGCTCGATAAAGGCTGAGACAGATTCAGATAGACATGACCTAGTTCAAAGAAGGAACCGACCTCTATCACACGAAGTGCGACCAGAGTGCAGCCAAAGTAAGAAATGCTCAAATACTTCAATGTAGGTCGACCATAGTAGTTTTCAATATCCAGTCCTCACTTAGGTCGCAGTTTCACCTTACCTACGAAACCGAATAAATAGTCTCCGAAGACTATGGAGATTCCACTGCCCTTACGCAACCCAACCTTTTCTCTAGATAATTGGATGGCCTATAAGTAATTGGCATGATGGATAACCTATCTATCATGTTAGTGGGTTTGACTTATTGTGGTTTGACCAAATTCAAAGGCTATATATACATAGAATTTGTTGGCATAAATGAAGCCTATTTCCACCTTTTCTGCCATCTACCTATAAAACTAACAAGGGAAAGAAATACCTGAAATGAGACCTGTAAGAAGACATGTAGAAAGACGTTTGAAAGGACGTCTTAAGAACACTGCCATCGATCTAACTGGGTCATGTCGTACTCAAGGATAGAGGCCACAGACATGGCCGACTATTCTTGTGTGAATGTTAGTGATAATTTCAATATTAATATTAAGAGAGGGCTGGAATCGTCTTCAAGATCCGGGCTACATTATGTAGCAAAAAAAAGATACGAAAGATAATACCCTATATCCGCGGCACGGGCCCATTATTCTTTTTGGTACTTTCCCCCCGAACTACTAACTAATTAATCCAAACTAACTAACTAATACAAATCTTGTAACAACCCACTACTTTACAGTTTTGGTCAACGAAGTAACAAAGTCAAACCAACCAGCATAAGACAGACCCTCATGCCAATCACTGAGGAAGTACTCGAGGCCACAACGCTCGGTCGCGCGATCAACGACGCGTCCGATCAGAGGCTGCGCGTGGTTCTCAAATCCATCTGCGCGAAAAACGACCAGGCTCGCAAAGAAGCCGAGAGTCACTTTCTGGTAATGGCAACCGATACCGAAGAGAGCTCTGATAGCAATAAGAGAGCAGTACCGCGCTACGCGGTTTGCATCCATTGCGAGAAGGAATTCGATGTTACGACTAATACGGAGAAAGCCTGTCGATATCATCCAGGTACGATTGTGCAAAAAATTGGGATCGCGGTCCAGTACAGTATGCTCAATAAGCTAACCCGCAATTAGAGGAAAATGAGCCCACTGGCGAAGATCTTTTTGCTGACAATTGGGATGAGTTTGAGGTGGACACCGATGGGATGCGCAAGGATTTCCCACACTGCTTTACGTTTACATGCTGCGATCAAAACCTTGAAGATAACCCCATTGGGTGTGTGACCGACTTCCATCAAGAACAGTACCCTGAGAAGCCATTGAAAAGGTCGAGAGCCGTTCGAGCCGGAGTATCATGAAACAGAGTATGAAACCTTATGTATAGATTTAGGTCTATGTGTCCGAATTGGGGTGACAGTCGCCAGTTTTTCCCATCACTGTCGCAATTGTATAAGCTAAAGGACATTTCCTAGGGCTTCCTATTTTGTGGAGTATAGAATGACGTAGGGGCCCATTTAGTACCCCTGCTTGTGCAGATGCCACCATCGGTGCCAAGAGGGGTTGCTTTAAGCTTATTACAAACTGCATGGACACCCATGAAATGATTTTGCTCTCTGGATAACTTATTCTTTCCCTAGTGTCTGTAGAGTGACGAGACTCTGACTTTCAGGCGAATCAACCAACTCTTCTACCTCTTTGCCAGGACTGCTATTCCGAGAAAATGTTAGTTACACTTCGACTTCATTGACGGGAGTTCGGAGAAAAATCGGTCGTCCAGACATGAAGGCAATATCTATGGGCAAAGGAGGGGGCCAGTTTTAGGTACTCCAAGATGATTAAGAATCTACAAAAGTGAATGCGCAGAGTGCTTGCTTAATTTATTTGTGAGATTATCTGCTTTCTGTACAAAGCATGGTTCGGCGGGCCCAACCAGCAAGCAGAAATTGGTGGCCTGTGGCCCTATTTGGAAAAAAAAAGAAGACGAAAAAAAAATGCCAGATAGATCAACGCCGATAGAAGATGCAAAGGGGGCTCTGAACAACTGCGTATGCCCCGACCATGTTTCATGAAATGCCCCCCAGGAAAAAAAGAGCTGGGTCATCAAGTCCTAAAAAAGACAAATCTGGATATTTTGCGCGCCGGGGGAATGAAATTGCAAAAGCAGAGAGCAAGGGATTTTACACTGCAAATGAATGAATGTCCTCAGAGAAGAAGAAGCAACCACAGGCTCAACGGTAAGCACCTAGAGATGTCGTATGAGTAAGAATGTTATTATGGGAGAGATAGATGATGATCTTACCGGAGTAGGGGTTCTGACCTCCACCTGGTCCGTGTGCAGTTTGCGGGATCTGTATTTGGGAAATGTCGGAAGGAATTTCAACGTGGCGAAGGAGGTCTATCATTTTCTCGGGAGAAAGACGGGTGATGTTGTAGGCAGCCGCAGAAGGCAGGATGCTCAAGAGATTCACCACTTCACGAGGCAGAGGAGCTGGAGATCCTTGGGGTCTGTATGAGGCGTTTTGGCCATTCAACTGTTGTACTCGCTTCGGCTGCTCGAGACGCCGAGCTTGCGCGCTCTTCATTGGTGACTCAGCACGGACAAACTTTCGTGGGCGCCCCGAGTCTTCATCATATTCATCAGTAGGATAAGGTCTCTTAGGTGAGTTGAGAGAGGTATCCATATATCTGGCTATGGGAGAACCGTGGGATTCCGCGTAGATTCCTGGCATCTGTGTCTTCTGCTTTGTCTGGGATGGGGACAAAATTAGTTGCACGGAAGTAGGGTCGAAGTTGGAGTTAGAGTAACGATTGGCGAATTGTTCCAGAGCAGGATCCTCCGGGTATAGTTCACGCATGCGGGTTTCCAAGTTGATCACTTGGGTGAGGTCGCCGTAGCGTGATTCATACTCGTGGAGGAAGGAAAAGATGGGCTTAGCCTTGTGCACGTTTTCCGGGTTCGATGTCAATTTCCTGACAGTTGTTTCGAACACGGCTCGGGCATCTTTGGCAGTGGTTAGTAGGTCTCTTAGAAACTTGGCATATCGACTTACTGATGGTATCATTAATGTCGAGCAGATGTCTCAAATATTCGAGCGCAAAGTGCTCATCCTCTGGGAATAATTTTGCGCCCCTCTCGAAGATCTTGGTGGCCGCAGGGTCTTTGTAACAATGGTACTCCATCAGAGCACTCGCGATGTAGACATCGCTGGTAATCCGACCTCGCTTGCGCGCTTCAGCGAAAATCTGGCGAGAGCCAGCTATTTCTCCCGGTTTTCCTTTACCCTGGATCCGACGCATCGAGCGCATGAGAGAAATCCATGCGAAAGAGACAGTCTTGGAGATAATGTTGATCTGAACGGAATGGGCCTTTCGGGCAGCATCAATCTGTGCCGTCTTGGCGGCTTCTCTTTCTTTGGCTTCAGGATCATCTTCATCCTCATTTTGGGGTTGGGTTTCCATGTTTTGTGGAGCAAAGTAAGCTTCGATTCGTTCAACATCCTGGGTTTCCTGGTTGCGAGCCTTGTTGATCAACTCATAAAGCGCATCAAGCAACTTGTCGTATGGTTCCCGGACCTTGGCAGCGCGCTTGGCGGAATCTTGTTCCGAATCTGAGGTAACTTCCAGTCGATCCGCACGTTTGAATGTCAGCAGACAACTCTCTGGGTTCGCGTCGATGCCCTTCTTCAAGAAATCTGTGCCGGAATCTTCCATATCGTTCAGGAAACAGAACTCGGCTGCATCAAACCACATTTCGGGCAAAAAGGCCAGTGCCATGAGTGCCTGTTTGTAGAAGTACACCACACGTGACTTGTAAGCAGCAGGATCTTCTTCTTTCAGTACTAGGGGATCTTCTTTTTCCCATGCGATCCAGCGCTTCCATATATCAGCTTGTGCTGAATATTCAACATCGCCTTCAGAGCCAGGAACAGGAGGTAGTGGTGGAAGAGAAGTACGAATCAAATCGCGGGTGATGTTTTGTAATTCGGTGTATGAACTACGCGCAGTCATGTAGGACGGCGAATGTTCTTGAAGGAATTTGCGACCCTGGTAGAAAATGTTAATACAAGCCAGTTGGATTCTGGTTCCGTCCAGCTTACCGTGAGCTTGTTTAGATTCATCTCGAATTGATCGTACTCCTTCCAGAGAGTATTAACAGCTTGGGTCGGCACGCTAATCGCTCGTTGGTAGGCCTTTCGCAGTAGGTCCATCTTTTGTTGATCCTGCCACCCAGAGCCACCCACCATGCCTGGCCCAGAACGTATGAACTCAATGTAGTCTGTCCAGATGTTTCCGGAATCCTTGTCCATGCCAACATGTTGAATGGCCATGTCATATGCAGATGAAATGGTCTTCCGTGCCTCGCCAGAGGCATCTGTTGTCAACGGATTACGACGACGGATGTAATCGAGGTAGACAGACCAGAGCTGAACGCTGGGTGTCGCCAGGAGCGTTCGGTTGAAGATCTGCTCCAAGCGGAAGAATTCATTGAGCTCAGACTCCATGCTGGCGTAGGCCACCCATTGGTCGGCCTGAGATGTATCCCATTAGCAATCGTGTACCTTACCAAGAGAGAAAAAGAACGGACACGGAAAGGGAAGACTTACCGCCATGGGGAACAGCTTCAAGAACCGCTCATAAGTGTCGCGTGCGCTGTCTAGTCTGCTGCGGCCCCTGTGCTCGGCAATTAACTCCAACCAAGCAGGGATATCACCTCGGGGATCCTCTCGAATCCGGTCTTCCAGCATGCCGACACGGTCATGGGCCAGACGACCCTTTGAAGCAGGAGAGTCAGGTACAGAAGTAGGAACAGTACTGTTCTGCATGGTTCCGGATTGCAAGTCTTGCGCAGCCCATTGAGATTGGACAGGAACAGAAGAGGGATCGATATTATAGACAGGATCAGGAGAATAAGAACTATTGGCAACATCTGGTCCACTGGCAGGTGCCTGCTCAGCTTGGTGTGATGATACATCAGGGGAAGTGTTTTGCATTGCATTTCCTGAGCTGGGATCTTCAGACATGGTCACAGACACAGCATTGACATCTTCACCCCCAAGTACAGCCGGCGGCTCATACTCCGCATCACCCTCATCATCCTCGTCATCATCAACCTCAAATCCGCCAATTGTTCGGGTCTTGGGCTGTGCCTTAGCAGCAGCTGCTGGCGCGGGTGTCGACGGCTCAGCACGTGAGGGGTTCTGAGAAGGATCGGGGGAATCACTAATCTGGCCAGCGTCTGCGTCTGAGGCGACATCTGCATCGGAGGCGACAGTCGGGTTGGGGATGGAATCTTCGGTCTCATCCGAGGGGGCTGCATCAGCGGGACCGGCATCAGGTTGCTGGGTCTCGGGAAATGAGGCCGAGTACTGATCCCCCAATGCCAGTGAGGGGTCATAGTCATCCGATTCTGCGTCTGAGTTATCACCTTCCTGCTCCACGGTGGGGGATTGGGAATCAGTATTCAAGGCTTGAGCCTGGAAGAAGGCAGCCTCAGCTTCATCGTCCGCCATAATAGGGTGATTGATGCGATAACCGCAAGGTCGAGGAAAAGTGAGCAACTAGGAACGTCAGGTCACGGCGCAAGCCGAAGCAGGGTTTGCGCGATGTGATATCAGGGTGAGTTAAAATAAAGACAAATGTTCCGAAGGTCGAGGGTTAAGGTGGAGCACAGCCACTTTTGACGATATAACCCTCAGCCGCAATGTATCTAATAGCATATAATGACCAAGAAGGAGTGAGCAAAGCTGCGATGACTGTGATGCAAGTTGCCCGGGTAGTGAAATTGGGGTCACGTGCGGGCGGTGAGGACAATGCGAGGGACGCGAAAGGCGCGTCGATCGATGGGCTCTCCTCGCATTGATCTAGAGGGGTTAAAGAGTAAACTGCATTCTTGTGGACCTGTTAATTTCTCTTGTTTTCCCTATTTTCTTCTTCTTTCCATTCCCCCTACTTATACAATCTTCTACTCTTGCCTCTTCGACTTTTTAATTCCCCGTACATACCCTCATATCTTATCACGATGTCTGTCGTCTCACTCCTTGGAGTGAAAAACCTCAACAATCCGGCTCCTTTCACCGCCTCTTACCAATTCGAAATTACCTTCGAGTGTCTTGAGCAGCTTCAGAAGGGTGAGTATTCGCTTGTTCTCCCTTTTTTCCAGTCGAGTTTTCTAACAAGTTCTTTCAGATTTGGAATGGAAACTCACCTACGTCGGATCCGCCACTTCGTACGTCCACCCTCCCAACACTCCTTGTTTCATACCAATCCCGCAGGGTCTAACTATAGCAGCTCCGAGTATGACCAAGAACTCGATTCCCTCCTCGTCGGTCCCATCCCGGTCGGAGTGAACAAGTTCATC